GAATCACTGACCTAAAATACTCATTTTGAAAATGACTTCTAAAAAAAATTCAGTTGTTGATGCTTTCAGTTTTGTTCACTGAAGACAGCTGAATGACACAAAAATGTATTTTGCATTGTCTTCTTGTTCTAAATAATCCCTTTTAGTAGGATTAGTCACAGTATTAAATTAAGAGAAGGAGCAATTAATTATATTCTTATGAAATGAAGAAGAGAAGAATCTTCGAAATGTTCTCCTTTCCTCCTCACCCCCTCCCTTTGAAATCTAAAATTGCATTATGTATTTTTCAGTTACGGAAAATCTTTCAGTCTTCAATTTAAGCAAAAGTGGTGGGAATGAGCAGTACATGGCACAAAATTAATTTGGATTGACTTTGAGTAGATGAGAGGGTAATGTATGGCCAAAATGAAAAGTAATGCTTGATTTATAACAACTGTTGATCCATGACGCAAGACCTTGCTGCTGCAAAGAGCTGTCAGGGGTTTTGGACAAGCACCTGTGCTCACCCTAAAGAAGTTATTTTTGTGCTTGTTCCATTTTGCAATGGTTTGGTTGGATGTATAAAAAACTGAACGTGGTCCTACTTGTCCTTATCACCATGGCTTAGTATGATAATGATATAATGTTCATTAAAGCCCTTTTTGTAGTTAACTTAAGGGTTTTCTCTAGTTTTTGTTACAAGGGTTGTGTAACAGCTAGAAAGCTCTGAATATTATTCTGTGGAAAAAAGCATGAGGATAAACTTCTGGAAAAATGATAGTAGGTAGACGGTTACAGAGGAGAACAGTGTAATAATAAGGATGTATCAGTAACTCTGATAAACTTGGAGAAAATGACCACAGATTATTAAGAGAGATTGCGAGGGCTGTGAGGGCAGAAAACACAATATCGAGAAACCACAATTATCCATATGTAGGCTGTGTAAATGATACACAGGGGCACGAAGCCTCTTGGAAAGATTAATCTGAGAACCCACAAAAGGGAAACAACTCTTATTAGTCTGAAGCAGTGCATCAGGCCCACATCAATAAGTAATTGTGCATGAACCACATTATCTCTCTGCCTGTAATGTGAGCGTAATCGAACCTCCTGCTAGGAACAAAAATGCTGTAAAAAATCCACTGCATAAAAGTTTACTACAAGAGAGGAAGAATTTCTTAAGGAAAATTGAAAGGGAACACCAGAAGGGTAAAACAGTAGCAGACAAGTCTGGAAAGTGCTGAAAGACTCAGCGTTGAATGCCTAGTGTAGGTGTATGGCACCTGTCAAAAGGCCACTATTCAACAAACTCCTATGTAATTTATAATTACGTACAAAATGAATAGGCTAGTGATAAAGTTTGCTGGTGACACAGAGTTATTCAGTTTTGCAAATAGTTGCAAAAAAAATCTCATGTGAAACTAATGACTGGGTGCAAAATTGCAGAAAATTACTTGTGGATAAATGCTAGGTAATGTGCACAGAAAAAAAAAAATAAGTCTACAGGCACAGTGGTACCCGCTATTCTTGTTCAGGAAAGAGATACTGAAGTCATTATCAGACTCCTTTTCATTGCCCTGAAAAATATTAGCTAACTGTTCAAACCTGGTCAAAAAAGTATTCAAATATTAAAGACGAAAATTAAAATCCAGAAGAATTGTAGGAGATAAATACCTGGTGCATCCATATCTTGAATACTGCATGTCATTCAGGTTTTCTCCATCTCTGGAAGGAAATAAGGTCCTTACAATGATCAAAGGTACAAATTGTTTATGTATGAGGATAGATTAACAGGCTAGGGTGCTTCACCTAAGAAAAAAGAGTATCATCATAAAAGTATCATTAAAGAAGTGTATACATCATACAGCTCCTGAGGCAGAGGAAGATAGCATCCTGAAACCCACGAATGATATTAAATTAGTGAACAGGGAATAAATTTCTATGGTTTCTTACAACCAGAGAACCACAGGGAAAGATTTAAAACAGAAGGAACCATTTTTCTAACAAATATGTAATTAAATTGCAGATTCCTTTGACATGTGCATTTGTATAATCCAAAGTATAAGTGAGTCCAAGAAAGGATCCATGGAGGACAGGTCCATCACTGGCTATTATATACAAGCTCTGGCCTGTGGCTGAGGAAGCTCTCGGGCTGCTGACTGCAGGAAGCAAGGGGAGAGAGCATCACTAGTCTTCCCTTCTTTCTGTCCTGAACATCTGGTGCTGACTGCTGCCACAGCCCCACTCCGGAGGGACGTTTGCTCCAACCCAGGATGAGCTTCCTCTGTTCTGATGTTGTTTTCACCACCTTCAAGCTTCTATATTTATTGTCATTTAGGGCAAAACTGATTTTCATTTAAAGTACCAGTCATTATGACAATGCACTTTTGAGTATCTGGACCCTTGTTTTATAGTGTTTGGATGGTGGGAAATCACCTTAAAATATGTTGAACAGCTGGTGAAAGATTGTTCTGGGGGTGTGGTGCTGAAAGACTCCAGGAGGACCTTATTGCAGTCGTTCAATACTTAAAGGAGGCTTGCAAGAAATATGGAGAGAGACTTTGTACCAGGGCATGTAGTGACAGGACGGGCAATGGTTTTAAACTGAAAGAAGGTATATTTAGATTAGATATTGTGAAGAAATTTTTCACTATGAGGATATTGAGGCACTGTAACAGGTCGTCCAAGGAAGTTGTGGATGCCCCATCCCTGGAAGTGTTCAAGGCCAGGCTGGATGGGGCTTTGACAACCCAGTCTAGTAGACTGTGTCCCTGCCCAGGGCAGGGGGGTGGACTAGATGATATTTGAAGGTCTCCTCCAACCCACACCATCCTATGATTTTACGAACTATAGCCCCCAGTGCCATCTGCTCATTAGTATGAGGGGAGTTGCAGGAGAAGCTGATTTGCACCATTTCCACCGGAGGGGAGGGAAGCAGGCTCATGTCACTGCTGGGCTGCAGTCAGGCCCTTGGTGAGTCTTTGTGCTTCACTGCCACCTAGCATGAGCTGCTCCATCTCTGAAATGCCACCTTTCCGGCACAGTACAGGTTGTTCAGCTTAAACCCAGTTTCAACATACAAGGAAATTAACGTCAAGGAAAAGAAAGAAATTATTTTTAAGAAGCCGTCTGCTTTAGGATAATGTGGCTGCATGGTGATCTTGGATCCTGACAGGTTTGGCTTTGATTAAAAACAATCCTGCAATAATTTGCATGATAATCTGTGATTTCAGGGTAGAGTGATGTTGCCCCATGCAGATGGCATTTCCTTGAGTTACGCATTTTTAAGTAGAATACATCACCCCTCGCTTTTAAAATTACCTGACAAATTTATCTTGACAACACTGAAGTTTTGCTCAGCGTGAGATTTTGTTAATATGCTGTAATTTCTTAAATGATAGTTGATGCTTTTTTAATTAAAAAGGCCATAATGTTTCGGTGTCAACATCTCAGTTAGTGCTAGAAGACCTGAGCTTTTGGAATTGAATTCTGTTCATCTCAAACAAGTGAAACCTACAGGCAGAGCAGCTGAATAACTAAATGTTAAAAGACTCTGTTTCTTCAAAGCTTGCCTTTTGATCCTCACATTGCCACCGAGGCTCTGAATGCATCATTCATTGCAGGGAGAGTGTTTTCCTATCTCAGCTGGATTGCATGCTGTTATTCTTTTAATTGTAAAGTGTCTCTTTTTCTGAGGCAAAATGGATCTGATGTTGAATGGCCGCTCTGACAGACACAGAGAAGCTGCAGATACAGAGTTTCTGCTAGCATTTTCTATACTTTCTAGAAAGAATCGAAAGCTGCACCTTTTTTTTTTTTTTTTTCCTTGAAAGTTCTGTTATTTTTCTGTGGAAAACACCTCAACACTTTAACCAAACACTGGCTTATCATTGTAACCTGAAGTGGTTTGTGTAGAAATATCTGCCCAAACTGGCATATGCATTTTCACTGAGGAAAATATAAGATTGGATAAATATCACTAATTCTATTGCTCTTTGTTTTCAGCATTTTTAATATGTGCCCTTTCCAGCACTATACCAGGATTTTTTCCTATTTTTATTTCTCATGTAACATTCATTTATGTAACTGAAACTTTGCTGAAGTCCCTACTGTTCACCAAGACTTGATCAACCTTGACATGTGTTGTGAATTGCTGTAGAGCTGTGCAGTTTCAGAGCTGTTTGGCAAATTCCTGCCAAATCCAGACACCAATTTCCCTCTTGGGGGCAAAAATTTTTATTGAAATGAGAGTCAGATTTAAACTCAGTTCTGACTCAAGCAGAGCTGTGCTGCTTGAGTTTGGCCATCATAACAATGAGGCGTTCTCCACCTCACGCCTGTTTGTGTGCTGGTGGGCCTTATCAAGCAGGAGTTGGATTATCTAATTATTTGGGTTTGTGATATATGCTTGCTAACGGCAGAAGTAGACAAATGCTAATTGACTGTGTCTTTCACCCCTATGTTGATGATTTAAATCTATCCCAGGCTGACAGTGACTGTTCATTCTTTCTGATCTGTACATAAAGGAGGAGAAATGGGCAGGCAGTTTTAATCTTTTTTTGCTAGGTATCATCAACAGGATCAGTAGCACAACTGTTTTAAGGACCATGTGTGGCCTCAGTCTTTCAGAAGTGCTTTTTTCAGGCTGCAGATGAGCATTAGATGAGGGTCGAAAAGGGCCAGGTGGCTTTGCCACTGACCAAGTGGTAGCCTTTCCTTGAGAAAACAAGACTGTTGTGGTGGTTATTGCCAATCTGAAAGGTGTCACTCGTTCCAATGTTTCTAAATTCTGCTGTTTTTAAAATAAGTCAGTGTGTTGTGAACTCTTTAGAGTTAGAGATAGTACAATGTCAGAGATGTTAGAGATAGTACAATAACACATAGCACAATGGAAGATAAATGATGTAGTCCTGTGGTGCAAACCACCGGCTGCCAGTGTGTCAGAGCCAGTCCCTGTCCTTATACTCTGTATTCATTAGTGCCTCGAGGGATACTTATTCACCTTATCTGTTCTGTTCTAGTGATTCACCATTTTTCAACGGAAGAGAGGCGCATGCGAGCAATAAAAGAGATGGCTCGCATCTTGAGAGTAGGAGGCCAGATAATGATATATGTGTGGGCAATGGAGCAAAAACGGAGAAGATTTGAAAAGCAAGATGTCTTTGTTCCCTGGAATCCTTCACCTCCTTCCTGCTCCTCGGGTGAGCCTTGCTCACGTGGAGTACAAAAATCAATTCTTCACAAGGACAAAGAGCTGGCTTTGAACCAGCCCTGTCAGAAGTTGGATGGGACATCAGAGGTACACAGGACAGCAAGGAGCTCATCCTGCAGAGGGGAGAAGAAAGCATCGCACACGGTATTAGAGAAATCTCTGAGACGGTCTCTGTTCTCAAGATCACTCGACTCCGTATTAGATGTTGATGATCAGTGGCACCAAGAAGAGCTCATTAGATACCGCAATTACGATGTTCAGCTGAATGAATTAAAGAGAGAAAAAAAAGTTGGAAAAAACAGAGAGCATGGCTTTCTGAAACGTGCTTCTGACTTTTTTCTACACTGCAAACCGAGTTTTGAAAAGACAACAGCTTTTGAAGTGGCTGTTAAACCTGTGCTGCCCATGTCACACTGCTCGAAGGCTTTCAGGGGGTGCTATTCAGAATTAGGGCAAGCAACTCTACAGCTCCCTATGGCTGCAGAGAGCCTTCATGACTGCAGCGGAGTGTGTTTACCTGACCTGATTTCACATCAGAAAGAATTAGCTGTCAGACAACAACTTAAAATAGACCATCACCCAAAAGAAGGAGCTTTCTGCCAACCTCAGAACAAAAGGAGAACGGGCTCTTCTCTGGTGGTCAATGAGTGCGCCCTGGCCATGCAGAGCGGACAGCAGGCGGGTCCAGACGGGGCCTGGCTGAGGTACTACCACGTTTTCAAAGAAGGGGAGCTGGCTGAGCTGATAGAGCGTCATATTCCTGAGCTACATATTACTCATTCGTACTTTGACCATGCCAATTGGTGTGTGATTGCAGAAAAGACTGACGCGTGGAAGATCTAGGGGAAATTTCCTTACTGAAATGCACAAAGAATACTTAAGGGCTTTCTTCCTTTTGAAAGCTCAGAGCCTTTGAAAATCTTTCCTGAAGCTTTTTTTAGCCTTGGGTTTGTTTTGGGGGAGAGGGAGACGTATAAGGAGGAGACTGCTTTGAAACTCTCAGGTTCTGTGACTTTGTTTTCTTTGATTTGTTCTTAAAATACACCTCTATTGAATTTTTTTTTCTAGAGTTATTCCAGACTGAGCACATTTTAGCACACTGATCCCCTTTCATAAACAGCTGCCAGCTGTGTTTTGTTGCTTGAAAACAGGTAAAAGAAGGTGATTGCTGGATTATTTTTTACATGTGCATTAAAAGTCTTTGTTATTCATTTATTACTATATAATCATGCATGTCAACTTTTTATTTTAAAATGTATTGTATTCTGCCACTTGATGCAACATAATGCAGGAAGTAACTGAAAGATGTACTATTTTATTGCAGTTCACTTTGTCAGCCTATATGATACTTCCAGACAGTCAGTCTTTTATGAGAATTACTAGGTGTATAGAGCCCTCATGGCAGAGGCAGTAACTTATGACACTGTCATGGTCTAGAGTTCTTTTTCATTGCCTTGTGGCAATCACAGCCAAGAAAGCAAAGAGATATTTGCCTCCATAAATGCCAGTACATGACCCCCCCCCAAAAAAAATTAGTTTTAAAAATTAGCTTGACATTTATGCTTAAGGATACAGCATATATAAATACAATAGCCCAGCTTAAGGGTTGATCTTTCTCCCTGTCAGCAAAACTAGGAGGAGTCAGGATTTACTAACGCATTTAAATCTGTACTGTGAATGAAGGTAGGACACGAAAGTGGTCCAGTGACCGCTAGTCAATGAAAATATAGAAAATATTTATTAACATGAGCATGCAATACTAATGCTCTTATATACAGATTTGCCTTTTGCAAAGAAAATCAGATTCATTATGCAGTTTTTATAGATAAAGAAACTGAGGTAAACAACTTTGCTTAAGGTTGCAATGTAGAGTAAATATTTGAAGGAAAAATAAACAGAAATCTCATACAACAGGGCTGCTTTGCTGATGATTAGTTACACGCTGGGAAGGTCTGTCCATAATTTTACTTCCTGCCTTTGTTTCTGTGGATTTGTGAATCAGCAAGGCAGAGATCAAACTTGTTTTCTGAGAAATAAGCCCCTACATGTTCTTTATGTATCTGTCAGTAGCAGGAGCGTATCATGTTTTCCAACATAACATGGAACTGTACAGTAATCTGAGTTTTTTAATGCTGCTTTAATTCAATTTGGATATAATATCTGTAATCACATTTCCTTTACTTCCTCCCATGGAGTTCACGTCAGCGGTATCATAGTACATCTTGTATTTTCAGGTGGAAAAGCTAGAGGGGCTCATCCGTCTCCTCCGTCTGTAATGACTGCCTCTGCAGAGCTCCTTTTTTTCCCCTAAGTGTTAGTACTGTTGGGCAAGTGCAGAAAATAATTTTCAGTCACAAACTGTTGCTGCCATTCAGCTCTGACGACACCGTTCGCTTCATTTTGTACACTGTTTTCCACTGCCAGGAGGACTTGACAGCATCCCCCCATTTTTCAGTGCAGCTTCAGGTTGCACTAAGCAGCAGCAGCAGCAGCACGTTGCAGCTCTGAGCCTCTCCATCACGTCCACTCCTACTGCTCAACAGGCTGTTAACCCACACAACGCACCAGGAAAATGCCTTTGATCACAGCTGCCAGTCCTTGCCCTCAAGAACATCAGATGTTTAGCTTTCCTGGAAACCAGCACAGGTATTTTAACTGAACCTGACTGATCATCTTTGGAAGAGTTTAGTCTGCTCCAGCATTCCCTGAACTAGAGGTGTTCATCATCTCCAGTTCTTCCCTAGGGTGCAATGAGCCACCATTAGGTTTGTCCTAATGCTGGTTAGCCTGTCTGCATGCTACAGGTCAGATGTTCCCAAACAAGATCCATGTTACAGGGACAGTGCTAGCCTAACTGGAAGGGATTTTAATCGCTGCACAACTGTCAGCGGCTCTAAAAGCAAACCTCCCCTTCAACAAGGAGTTAATGTCCTTGTTTTGAATGAAACAAACTGCAAAGGCCCATTTCTTGTGTAGCAAAGTGCTGCCGAAGGCATGCATTAGACCTGCTTCCACACGGGATGGCTTCCGCCCATGATAGTTGCCCCTGGAGGGGGCCAAGTGTTCCCTGGGATCAGAATAAATTCAGTTTCTTGTGATTGAAGCTCCCCCAGGACAGGGCCCTTGACTGTGCAGGGAAACAAAGCAAAAACGTGGCTTTGGTTGGAAGGATCATGTATTAATACTTCCTCACATTTATGCATGTCACAAATGTTAGAAAGCCGTAAGCTGTACTTGAAATTCTCGTTTTGATCAGGATGCCAGCAGCAAAACCAGGAATGAGTTCATTCCTTCATTTCAACATCACAGTCTGCATTTGTAATCCCCAGGGCAGGCACTACCTTGCGCCAAGGGGTGCACCAGGGAAATGCTCTGCACTCCTGAGCAGTGCTTGGTCCTAACTCCTTTTCCTCTTGTGCTCTTTGCTACTCTGAGCTGGGTTTTAGAATAGAAAGGCACAATTTTTCTGGACTCATGTAGGCATCTAGACTGTAGAATTATGTGTAAGTCTACATTTGCACTCTATATTGCCTGTAGAGTTAATGGCAAGAAATAGCCTCTTTAGAGGATGAACCATGAAATACACCTTGAGGAGCTGTTGGGATTAGAGAGTTTATGTTCACCACCTGCTAATCTCTTTCTATTGCTTGTGGAAGTAGGTTAGAGAGAAGCTCAGTCTTAAACACTGATTCTTGGAGGCTTCACTTAGGAGAGATGGATCCTGCCTAGGAATCTGTTAAGTTCTGTGGATGGAAAAAAGGAGCATGAACAACTGTAAAATCAGACAGATTCATCCCCAACTCCACCTTTTGGCCAAACAGCACTGCCTACATATCGCTATTTTGTAGGAACCATGCAAAACAATTCATTGTTAAGCTAGGAAAAAAAAAAAAAAAAAAAAAAAAAAAACACACCCCAAATTGGCCAAACAGCACTGCCTACATATCGCTATTTTGTAGGAACCATGCAAAACAATTCATTGTTAAGCTAGGAAAAAAAAAAAAAAAAAGACAAAAAGCATCAGCCTAACTCAGCTCTTCTTTACAGCGTCTGCCACTCTGAATTTATGGTCATTTGAGGCCTCACCTGTCCAAAGGACACTTTCAGAAAAGCTTCCAATGTTTGACACTATCTCTGATCTACCAGTGCTGATCACCTTTACAGACACTAATATGAATAAAGTCAATGTCTTCTCCCTTTTTCTGATTTGCAGGTCACTAAAAATCCCCCAATTCTCCACAAACAGTTGCTGTGCTGTTCCTAATTTCTTTTGGGGACCCCTGGGAACTCGTCCACAGCCATTCCAGGATCCACAAGCACAACTTGGGGGCCTCTCTCCCGTGCTTGCCACGTGAAGCACTGTCACATCGAGTCCCACATGAAGCCAGCGCTGCTCACGTCACCAGAGCTAAGACCCTGTGAGCACAGCCCTGTTTATCCTCCTTTGGCGTAAACAGGTTTGATGAGTGTGAGTCTATCACAGAAGATTTTTGCCCACTGGGTAAATGTCTTTCTTCTAATTGTCTGCTAATTGGCAAACAGCTAATCCCACTTATTATCAAAATTCTTTCTCCAGAGAAAACTCAGCCAAGAGTTTCATAAATCCTTTTCCCTCATCCTTTTTAATTTTAAAAATTGTTCTAAGTATCATTTGGTAGCTATCACCTAAGGAGGTGTTCTCTTTGAGTTAATCAGCTCCTGCAAGGTTATCTGTGATCTATTTGAAAGAGCCTTAGCCAGCATCTTGCCTTCTGTCTTAATTAGTAATTACTGGCCTAAAATTGTCACTTACCATAGGCATTTGTACTGACCTCTCAAATTAAGATTGCCCATGAAATTAAAGGTGGAAGAAGCCTATTGGGTCATTTATTCTATCCTCCAAAGTGCATTTATTATTCATGGTGTGTGGCAGGGAACCCGAGTGTGGGGTATGATTGAGAACACCGCAGTTAACTCGTCTTTGAAATGTAAATACAATTAATGAGTATACCTGTCTTCCCCCAGGATCTGTCCTTGTCTGCTTTGTCATTCTGACTTCTTTCTTTCTTTCTTTCTTTCTTTCTTTCTTCTCTTTGATGGGAATCCTGATTTCCTTTCCTTCCTTCTCACTCAAGACTGAAAACAACATTTTGCAGAAGGATTCCAAGCGGTAAAAAAAGCACAGAAAATATTCTGTGGATTTCTCAAAACGTGTACTTTACTAGCATGCCTTTCAGATCTCATTGTGACCAGGACTGTGCTAAGTGTTGCCTTCATAATCTGGCACAACAAATCATTTGACATGAACATGCTATTGCAAGTTTAAAAAAGGATCCCAGCTTGCAGTGAAAGCCCACATTGGCAACATTTAGCTGTAGCGAAACTGTGCCATTCACTGGCTGTCACAGATTTCCAACTAAAAGCATCACATTTAATAAAGCAAAGTAAATTGTCCAAGGCAAAACCAAGAAAAATTGTTTGGGGAAATTCTGTGTCAGCCAAGAGGGGGAGCAGGACAGTAGGTCTCCATCTCTTAGTCTTCGCTTGCCCCATACCCAAACTCTGCTCTTTGTATACAGTGGCTTGAAAAGAGGTTAAAAATACCCAAGAAAAATATTTTAACATTAAACCGTGCCAGAGCTGGCATAGAGCCTTTATGGGAACCTGAACAGAAAAGGCACTTTCTACGAAATCAGTCTGAATGGTGAAATGCAAGCTTCCTACTGTTAAAGCCCAGGAACCATTTTAATTCTTTTCCCCACCAGCACTTCCCCTTCACCCTCATAGTCAGATGTGTCTACACAGCTTTGTAAATAAAATTGAAAATGTCTCCTACTGCAGCCTGGTGATCCACTACCTGTTGGAGGACAACCTCTTCCAAGCACAGGAACGGTCTGTTTCATGTGCAGAAAGTTGAGTGGATGTGGCAGGAGGCCAGCACAGCTGAGTGGGGATCTCTGGACTGAGCTCAAATGTGTAAAGGAATTAGAAATTTTTAGAAATTAGAAAATTAGGAAAAGGTATGAGGGCAGTGAAATGGGCTGCCCAGAGGAGTGATGGATTCTGTGGCCTTGGAGGTACTGAAACCTCAGCTGGTGAGGACTGAGCAATCCAGTGTGGCTGGATCTGCTCGAAGAAGAGGCTTGAACAAGACAACCTCCAGAAGTCCCTTCCAACCTACAGCACCAGAGGCAGGAGGCAGACCTTGTCTTTCATGGGAAATGTTACTGAAGCACTGTTATCCTGGACAAGGCTTGCCAGCTGCAGCTGAGGAGCCTGGAATGAGAACAGGTACATGCTGGGGACAGTAAGGGGCAACTCTAGTGCCAGACTGGCAGAAAAGGAGGTGT